CATTATATTGTGGGAAACTCCTTGTGTCTGCCTGTTCCTTGATGCTGAGCATCTGTCTTATACTACTCAAGGCTGCTGGACACAAGAGTTTGGATTTCCGGAAGCTTGGAGAGTGATGGTCAATGCTTGGGTATAGGGCAGGAATTTGCAAGAATTATTCCAGCTTGAGTGAAAGTTTCTGTGTAATAATCAGCATTGACTTCTTGAAGCTTTCTGTGGCAGTGGCTGAATTTATAAGAAGATATTCTCAGTGCAGTATATGCAACTGGGCTTTCAGCTATTCAATGGTGCAATGTTATTTGGAATAGGGCAGCGTGCACTCTGTGCAGCTGTAATTGTATCCAAGTTTGGTTTGCCATAGATGTATACGTAATGATCATTACTAGGACAAGTGCCATCTGCTATATCTATCTTTCTGATCCAGCAAGATTCTAGCTACAGTTACATTTTGTTTTAAGAGGAAAAAAGATTTCAGCATCATGGTTTCAATTGATATGTCTTGAAATTGTGTCTGCCACTCTAGATTTTCTAATAGAGCTCATTCTAATTCTTCAGCTGCTTAGATTGTCCAGTGCTAATTTCTCTTGGACAATTCATCCCAAGCCCACTGTTACGTTAAAAAAAATCAGCCTCATATTAAATATTTCTAAATTTATAGATGCTTAATGTACACTTGAAGTTCTGCTGCAAGATCTTTCTGCTTCTACTTTTCCCTACTTTGGGGAAGCAAGGTGGCAAGCAGGAGTTGCGTTCCATTCATATGCGTTATTATCATCCCTGAATACAGTTTTTGTATGCAGCTTTCAGACTTTTGGTGTTCTCCTGATTATTGTGATACACTTGCAACTTTTAGCCAGATTCTTCCTGAGACATGTCAGGAAATCCCATGCTATTAGCATGAAGCCAGCCTAAGTAAGCCATTTTTGAACTCTGCTAGCACATCAAACGTAACTAACTCAACCAGTTTTGCTAATACCTTTTATTTTTCAAGCCTTACTTTGTAAAGATAGTGGCACTAAAAATACACTTAGCCTTGGCAGATGCTGGGGCTGCCCTTCTATTAACCAAGCAACAGTGTTTAGAAACATTCAATCCACTATTGCCTTCTTAAGGCCATTACAGTGCTGGTGATTGGAAGGGTGATTCTTTTTCAAGTGCTTGTAGTCCAAAGATTGCCTGCTACACAGGAATAAGCTAGTAAGTGGGTATAGGAACTGCTGAATCTACAAAACTATGGAACAGGGTGCTTACTCAACTCAACCTAAACTTCTATTAACCCATTACCTTATTGCAGAATAATTAGAACAGAGAATGCAACAGAAACTACACTGGTTGAAATGATACGCAAAATCATTGCCAACCTGCTGAGAAATAGGAAGCCAAATAGATCAGAAAATAATTGGGGTATAAATACAAAACTATAAGCAAGGATCAGCAATGCAGATTACCTTCCGATTTGTGAGGGGATAACGCAAATGGTCATTATAAGTCAACTGGATTCATAGTTTACCACCCGAAACTGTTTTGACTTTACAGCTATTTAGAATTAAGCATGAAGACTTGGGTTCCATTTGCAGCTGGGCAAAATTACTACAGTGCCATTCTTCACTTTTGCACTAAATCTTAACAATTTCATAAATTAAGTATATGCATCTCTATGAAAATAATTTGGTGATTGTGTGCTTTCTAGAGAACGTATTTAAGCACTAATAGCCACTGATCCTTGAATCCAAATTAATGATAATACTGTAATATTCCCTTGCAGAAGTCTTTTAGCTATGACTGTCAAAAGAAAAATCTGTAGGCTTTTAAATGATACTGATGGGCAGGAGTAAGTGGGTAAAAACAGTATCTTCTTAGGTTTTAGCCCATGTCTACATGCTACATGTGTTAGGCCAAGCTTCTATGTAAAGCACTCAAGTCTGATAAACCAGAAATTAGCCTGAGTTAATCTAAATTCTCTATGAAGAGTATGTGCTGCATGCAAAAGGCCTCTAATTGCTATTCCTCCTTAGGACACCTCTTCACAGTGGAAGTCATAATGAAAGAAACCCCTTTTTTAAGTGTCTTTATTTCCATCTTCAGTTAAATAGGTAGGTAGCTGCTCTAACTGCTTCCAATCCAGGATAAGCTCCAATGAAACAAATGCTGCTTCCTTAGCTGCACATGACATTAGAACGCCAGGATGAGATACTTTTGGATTCTATTCATGAAGTTCTTTTCTGTCCAACTTCTTTTGCTACAGCAAGTCAAATGTGTTTCAGGCACTGAACATAAACTTATTCCTTGTAGTCCCTCTTAGATATGTGTCTAACAAAGCTATTTCTAGCGCAAAACTGGCTTTAACATAGTAGCCCATAGTAGCCCATAAAGTGGCACAATCTTGAAAGGGAATAGAGGGAAAACACAAGTCTGGACCTTTTTGCTTTGCTCCAGAAGCAAAATGCTGCCTTCAAGGATTTTTTTTTTTTTTTTTTTTTGCACAAAAGTACCTCTTAGTTTTGAATTACAGCCTAGATAATATTTGCAAGATGGAAGTGAGATAGAAAAATTCTCCCTTCCCTGCCTTTACTAGAGGTGCCAGAGCCAATAAATACCCCCTAACATAAGAACCCAGTCTATCCGAGAAGCACCTTAATTCCCCTATCTGGCTGAACTATCATTTTTATAATCAATTTGTAGCAAAGCAATGAGTAGTATCCATGGTTTCTACAGTACATTTCTTGTGGCAAACCTGAAATTTCAACTCTGTTGTTCTGGACGTGTGCATACCTTGGTTTGTTGGATGTATGAGTATATCCATCAGTGAAATAGTATGTTTTGTGCTCCAACAGTATAACCAACAATATCTACAAGGACAAGCACTAATCAGGTTTTGAGAAATTCCCCTGTTCCAACATTTCCCCAATCCTTGCTCTCTGAAATGTATGCAGATTGACATTTAGCTTTATGACAGTCCCAATTCTGGTAAAGAAAATGGATCTAGTTGTTTGCAAAAATCTTGCTTCTGTGAGCTAGCTATTCCCTCTCTCTATAAACTGCATAATGCTGGATCCACCACTCACACAAGACCAACAACATGAATAAGCTTACCTTTGTATTCAGTTGCTGCCTTACACAACAAAATCCTTTCCCTCTGAACGAGGATTATCTCCATTTACTAAGCAAATTGGCTGCAGAGCAGCTAGGAACAGTTGCTAGCAAAGCCAAGTCAGAAATACTTGCCGAGTCTATTTAATAACCCACACAAACCAGTCCCGTTCCTTCTCTGTGCTAGTAACTAAGCAAACAGATCTGATTACTTGCTACTCTAATGAAAGTAATCACTTTTCTGGTTTGTAACTGAATATTAAATATTCTAGTTTTAAACAAAAATATCTGTGCTTTTCTATGTAATAACTAATTCTTGTTCTATAAACCACCTAAATATTGTGAGATTGGTGAAGATAAATTACTTGATATTTTTGGGTTTTTCAACCATCATGGCCTTATTTGTTCAATTTTTCCAGTGTTTTAAACCTGTGATATAGATGTTTATTGCAAAATCTACATATTGTATAAAATATATATTTTGTGTCAATCTTTTGTGCGGCGGCAACAGCAGCAGCTTTAGCTGTTCTATAGACTTCAAGTGGAGTCTGAAGAGCTGTGTAGGTGTCCTGGGTCCATGAGATGGGCAGTGCCTGTGGTCAGATAATGTATGTGTGTGTAGTCTAGAGTGCAACAGCTGTTTTCTACCTTTTGTAGTTCTTTCTTAAGAAATAAATTCAGCCGTGTTCTTTGCCTAGGATGCTGCTTGCTTACTATTGCAAAAATGAGTTCACATTTCAGCCCTTGTGTGCAAAATTGGAATCTGCTTGGCAATCCCAGCATAGGTTCTATGACTTGGATGAACTTTCAGATATCCCCAAACTTTCCTGGTTCACAGTGCTCTGGATGCTGTAGCAAGCTCCCTAACAGTTCCATTTATTAAGTATCTTATGCTCCCCTGCGAGTTTGCTGTAGTGCCATGCTACAGGGTTTGGGAACTACAGATCTAAGGTCAGAGATATATTCCACCCTTCATACAATTTAGAGAGGCAACATCCATTTCACATCTGAAGTCATGTTCAAAAATTCACCTCCTGGTGCCCCATCCCAGCAGAGCTACTTAAATGGGATGAATACAATTGATGTTTTACATAGCTACTTCAAATGGAATGAGCATAGCCTTAAAGGATTTTTTTCTGAGACAGTCAGATGCCATTTAGCTCCCTTTTGCTATTTTTCAGTTGTTGTATAGCTTTTGCAATTTTTTTTTTAAACCAGAGGCTCTCATCTCTAGCAAGTATGTTTCTATTGGAATTACAGTATATAAAAAGGCTGCTATTCATAATAACTATAAGGTGAAACACACTTATTTTAAACTTCTTAGGGCCTGAAATTACTATAGTAATTTGTTGGGGGCAATATGCTGACCCTGTAAACTGCTTAGAGGGGGCTGTAAAGCACTGAAGCGGTATATAAATCTAAGTAATATTGCTATTGTGATATTTTTGCTAATGTATGAATTCTATTCATGAGGACTGTTACCTCTGATTCAAAGTGAAGACTGCCAATGAAAGGGAAATGATGCTTCCTTTCACACCCATCCTGAATTTTAATTATCCTCCCATCTTTTAAGACAACATTCTCTTGGATAGTATGGGAAAATATTTATAATTATATTTATTTACACAATCTGAAATCACACAATTCAGCAACCCCTTGCTCAAACTGGGCAAATCTAATCAAGGACAAATCACCTAGGGACCCTAGGTGCACCATGAAAAAAAGAATATATTATGATAACCAATGTGAATTATGGAATGTTCTTGTATAACAAGCAGTAAGTATCTTAAATTTGCACATACTTTCCAGATAGTAAACCCTTAATGTCAACCTGTGTGAAAATTCTCAGTTGCGATGCTGTAATTCCGATTAAGTTTTTCATCAAAGAAGAAAAGAAGCAACAAGAGTTAGTCTGTTTAAAATATTTATTGCAGGAAATAAGACCTGCTGGAGAGAAAAGAGAGAAAACATTTGTAATCAGTCCACTAGGTATGTGAGTTGGGGTGGCATTTACATTTAGGAAGAAAAAAAATAGACAAAATAACAAGTACAAAATGACACTGAAACAAGAAAGGAATTTGGTCTCCTTAAACAATATTGTTGCCTTGGAATAATTTGTTCTTGCATTAGAGGAAGTCAAATCTTACAGGATATTCCCACCTATTCTTTGTAGCTTCACCAAATACAGATTACTCTAGAAGGTTAAATAGCTAATTTTTGCTTTTTCTAAATCAGTTGAAGTTGAACCATCGCAAACAATAACCCTGGTCTGCAAGGAAAAGTTTGTTTTCAGAGTCTCAAGCAACCTCGCTTCTTCAAATATCACCCCCCAGACAGCAACAAGGAAGTAGAAGTGATTCTATTCACAAAATCTAATGCTTCCAAGATCATTTGGGCAACATCTACTCTAAAGAAAGGGAAAAATTAAAAATGTTTAACAAGGAGGTAGTTGAATTGGACATATACAGTTATGGCAAAAAATGAACAACTGATGTGAGTTTTGCTTCTGAATCAGATTTCATAAGACAATCCATGTGTAGCGCTCATTGTCTGCTAGGAATTTTAACGAGCAACCTGTAGTTACAAAGGGGAAAAAAAAGAGTTAGCCAAGAATTAATGTCCTTGCAATGCAAGTCTCTCCAAAACTAACTACATTATAAAGTCATCTTGAATGGAATTTCCAGAACTCTGATATTTGAAACCAGAAACTAAGATAGTAATTAACTGCTACCACTTCATGGGCCATGATCAATCAAAGATATTGAATAAAATCCCCAAAAACCCAGAATCAGGACAGATCTCTCCAGTGTTTTAACATTACACATTTTTAGAAAAAGTATCCTATTTTTTTTTTTAAATGTCAGAAAGCATCAAACATGCCTTTGATTGAAAACTGGCTATTATCTCAATATTGGTCAGCCAACTGAATCCACTGAGTAATAAAACTTTTACAAGACAGAAAATACCTTTGTGAAGGGCTTCATTGGTCATTCTGTTGACATAGCGAACACTGCTCTCTGGTACAAGCCACTTCATTACCATATCCACACAGCTTTTCCGGTAGGAGCTCCATACACTGCCACTGAGAGGCAGGAACTAGGATTAGTTAGCAAGCCCAGAGTTCACATATGGATAATTTTGATACAACATTTAGAATCATGGAAAAATACTAAACAACTTGCCCTCAATGTAAGATCATCAGAACAAATGGCAGATTATTCCCTATGTTCCTTTAATTTGCCACTATATAATAATGGTCACCATTCACTTCCATCAGGAGACATGGAATGGTACATTTTGAAAATCTTTGCAGAAAGGAAAATATGTCAGAGGAAAGAGAGAGTTGAAGGGCTGACTTTCATTAGAAAGATTACAATAGAAAAATGTTAAAAAAAATAATTCAAGGGTAAATATACCCCCTCCCCTAAAAAGTAATAGGTCAACTGTAAGGAATCGCTTCAAACCACATCTTAAGAAAGCAGAACTCTTGGAAACTATCTCTTCCAACAGGAACTTGTATTAAGAGAAATTGATAGTGGGCATAATAGACAGAATCTGAGGGATTCTCTCACAAATCGATGTTTAAAGTGTCCCTAAGCAAGCCCCGCCCCGCAGTTCTTCCGTGCGATGCACACCGGCAGATTTCTAGATGTTAAATCCAGGAAAGACAACATCAATCCGGCTCTGTTGTACACGATCATGCAACAGCTCCTCACACTTTATTTTGATGACGGAAGAGGCTGTATCTTTTCACACACACACCCTTTTCCTAGTTGGCCGGTAAGGAGGAGAAGTTCAGAGGGGCATAGGATGAAAGGCAAATGCTTACATTGTGATGGTTAGCAGATCCTCAAGCGAATAAACAAAAGGTTACTTTGTGGTGAATAGAGGAAGTGAAAGTAATTTTAAAAAGCTTGCATATCCCCCCTCACCCTTGGGATTATGGCAGGATCCAGGAAAGGGTAAGAATTGGTTTTAGATCAGAGGAGATAGATAAAAAGGAAATATAACTGGATCCTGATATCAACCCTGTTTTACCTGGTCTGTCCTTTGACTTCTGTGAGATCACCTACACTGACAGTGACAAAGATGCCAGTATTCAGATCCCATGCCACTTTGAGGCTGGTGTGATATGTCTTTGGTCTGCAGATGATAAGAATGATTAGACTACCCATTCAGTAAACACAGACAAATAATACGCCTACTTATATCAACATTATTCCAATCTTTTACAGTTGCTCCAAAGAAATTCTTTGCTGATATACATAGCATATATTATCTCCAAACATTTTGAGAATGTATTTTAATATCTGGGATATAATATTTTAAATTTCTGATAGAACTACAGACCTTCAGATTTGATCAGTGCTTCAGAATATGCAGAAGCACTTGTGCCTTTTTGCAGGATTGTAATGCTGCTGCAGGAAAGCTTGTGCAGTAGCCATACAATCCTGGAAACAAATCCAAAGAATTGTCTAGCCTGGGACTGGACTCACCTGAGCTGTCCCTCTTCATCTGGAGAAGGAAATGCTAGCAGCAATAGTCCAATATTGATGATGACCTGATTGGTTTCTGGACATACCTAAAAAAACATGTTTAAAAGAACTGAATAAGCTGCATTCAGCTGGAGGACAAGGTTCTATTCTTATCTAAAGGGAATCCAAGGTTAAAACTGAAAGGAACTTAATAAAACAAAGGAGGCTCTCTCAAGGTTGTTCTTAGATCATTCCTGTGCTACATATGAGACATGTAATGATTTTAACTCTCTCACAAGCCAAAAAGAAATACTCTAATCCGGAGGTCCCCAACCTTTTGGGCACCAGGGACCAGTTACAGGGAGAGAGGTTTTTCCACAGACCAGAGGGGGCGTGGTTTTGTGTGCTGCCTGCATCCTGTGGATAGGGCTTTTCTTGTTTGTGTGGACCAGTTGCTGGCATGCTGCGGTCCGGTACTGGTCCACGGACCCGGGGTAGGGGACCCCTGCTCTAAGCAGGAACCCTTTAATTTCAAAATATCAAAATATAAGCCATCAGCTTGTTAGCTGTTCATAACATTTAAGTCAGATTTTATTGAATGAATAACAAGTTTTCCTACTCTGCCCCTTACTAGTCAGAGACTTCTCTGAAGTAATACTTTTTCTACTCAAATCAGCCATTCTAAAATGGCACAAATAAAAACTGTGTGAACAAGTGATCAGAAAGTGGAATGAGCCAGCAATCCACAATAAAATCATCATACTATTAATATCAATTAAAAGTTGCCTGTACAACCTTATTCCAAATTTTACTCCTTTTACTATTTCAATCTACATAAGTCATAAACTGTGACACTCACAGATCACCTTGGAAAGTTTATAACTGACAAGAGACAGTACCACTTGGCACTGAATACAATGAGGCAACAGCCAGAACTTTTAAATAAAACTTGGCACTATTGATCAGAATAGTCAACATGAAGCAAATTGGGAATATTTATCTTCTAACCAATGATGCAAACATGACCCAGAGCCCTGCTCCACAGCAACTCTATTTTTTATAATTATTATTTCTTTGTAAATCAGACTGCTGAGAACTTTTTTTAAAAAAAGAACAGATCAATATAAGCTCAATTCAATCACTGAGTTGATCTCAGTACTGTATTATTTGGGTTGCTGTTGCAGCTTGATCAGATGTTGTAGCTCTGAATTGTTATTGTGAGCCAATTCACCCATTGTGTTACTGCTGGAAGAGATATCTAGCTTTTATTATTCATGCCTGCCTGATTTCCACATCACACAATTATCACACATTATAGAAAGTTTTAGAAAGCTGCCAGACTGCCCCCAGAATGGCTGGATTGGAAGAAGAATGTAAGTTTTTACAGAGTTTACACAATTTGTTTTTTCTACATTTCTAGTTCTAGATACTAAAGGAAATGCTCATCTTCTTTATTCTTTAAAAAAGAAATTTCTGGTGCACCATCACTGAAGGTTTTTAAGAAGAGACTAGACAGTCATTTGTCTTGAGATGGTATAAGTTTTCCTGTTTAAGCAGGGGGCTGGACTAGAAGGCCTCCAAGATCCCTTCCAGCTCTATTCTAATTATATATCTATAACTATGATGAAGAAGCATTTTTTCATAAATCAAAGTAGATATTTTGTCTGTCTATTCTATCTCTACCTCCAATTGCAACCATGACATTCTTTTATTCTCCAGGATAACTAAAATTTACTCTCCACAATTAAATTCACATGTATGTTATTTTCTTAAATATAAGCTATTTTGGGAATATTTGTGTTAAAAGGCAATATAAAATGTAAATAGAATCATGTTCTATTAGGGATGACCTCAAATCTGCAGGGAAGCCATATCTCTCCTCTTAACTATATGATCTTCTTTGTGAACTGTAAAAATACATTAATTCTTAAATAACCTTCCTTTAATAAGGTGTCTTCTAGAGGTAGAATACAACTCCCAGAACTACATTTGTTAATGCAATGAACATCACAAATATGACACAAGGAAAGCTGTTTAACATTTCTAGGGGAGATATGCTGGGAAAAGTCTGGTCTAGAAAACTGCCCATTCGCACTATTTTTATGTATACCATGTGACATCCTTAGGGAGTCCATTTCCACCCCTTTTTAGACAAATAAACAGCAGTTTACCTCACACTAACTCTGTAGTTAAAACTATTGAAAAACCAATCATGACAGATATAGACCAATTTTGTGAATGGTAAGGGCCTTTATGATTATTTAAAGATAAATTTTAAAAAATCTGTTTAATTAGAGTGAAATTACTTGTTGACACTCAAGGGGACAGGTAAACTTGCAAGTCAATACTCCGCGCTCTGGCTGAAGGTGCTGCTATAGTGAACATTAGCAAATATAATTTAAATATGTTAAACTTATACCAAATTATTTTCAAATACAAATAAATCTAAAAGTGTCTTTCCTCAAATGGAGAACAGCATCTGCATTTTTTAATGAGCCAAGAAGCAATACTATAAAAATGATGTTCTGTTCTCAAATAAGATATCATTAAACAAATCTGTCATATTCCTACCTCCAAGATGACAATGTCATAATCACTGAAGGAACAAAACTGCTTGGACCATGAAGCATCATTTCGAATCACTTCATTAATAACATATTCAAAATCCAAAGTCAACTGCTCCACTGTTAAATATTGGCCCTGAAAAGGCAGAAAAATAGCAGAGAAGAATCTGTATCAGTACTTTCTGGCATAGCCTGCTCCTTAGCCAGACACCTAATTTTCAGAAACTCATTATACTAATAAATATAATTAATCCTCTGTTTACACCTCTAACATTGACATTAATACTGCTCTATCTCAATTCTTTTTTTTCTATCAACAAGCTATTTTGTGCAAAATCTCTACTAGCCAGAAAAATGACATAACTGAGTGTAATATGACACCACAAACTACTCCAAGCTCTTATTATAATTTTTTGTACATAGTTTTCAGTTATAGCAAGGATTAGTTAAGCATATATAGTCATCCATGGGATAGAGGGAAATATGAAGAACAGGTGCATAGTTGGAAAACATAACTGCAAGAGATCTTGGATGTACATTGTTAATTTCACAATTTCAGACAAAAACCATTGAGGACTTAAAATTCTGCTTAAAATTTAGCATGCTATTATGGCAACAGTTGCCTAAATATTATATTATAGTCCATATTTTTTGCACATTGATTTGCTTTTCACATACAGAATTTGTCCTCTCTGATTTGGACAGAATCAGCCTCAAAAACTATTTTAAATGGAAGTTCTAAAATTTCATTTAAAAAAATGGGATTTTTCTTTCCAGAACAGATTCAAACTGTAATTGGAATGCAACACAACATAAGAAAGACAAAAATATCACTTCTGAAATCCAGGAACTGCCCAAATAAGCTAAGTTAAAGTGTTTTCCTCTTTAAAGATTGAACATCTTTCAAATCTAACAGAAAAGAGAATAGGGAACCTAGACTGGAAAATTTCTCCCGTTCACATAGTGCTTGCCAAATGTTATAATCCTTATATTTTCTGTCTATGGTCCAGCCCTTGTATGAAGGTCCTCTAACTGATAAATTACAAGCCTAATACATGCTAAATCTGTTTAATCATCATTTACAGAATAAATCAGAAGTGATTGGTTTTATACAACCTATAAACTATAATTAACAAACATACCAGTCATAGTCACATGAGCTAAGATCAAACTACATAATGTTTGTTAAACTGGCAACTAAAGCAAAAGATGCTTGAAAATATAAATCAGAAACGTTTGAAGCTTGCTGAAAAATAAACTGATGCTATTTAAATAATCCCTCAATGAATTCAATACATATCCCTAAATTAAAACCACTATATTCCAACTAATCAGGGTGTGTTACCAAAAAAAAGAAAATGTTTTGTATTTCAATACAATGAGATCAAACAACTGGATAAAACCAAGAAAGCAAGTAATGAAAAAAATATTAATGAGTTCACATTTCCTTGAGAATAATTATTTAGTGGTCTTTCTCAAACAGAGTTAGCATCTCTTTCTCTCACATCAGAAGATTCCTAGAAATAGCTCTTACCTCACAAATGGCCTTCTCCTTTAAGAGCTTCAAATTTCTTCCTAGGAGGTCTGTCACAACAAATGGCAAGGAGATTTTGTCATCCTCATATTCTGAAATAAAAAATAACATAAAGCCAAGTAAAAAAAATAACTATGAAGCATCAAAAGAACAGCTTCAAAAAGATCTTTTGCAAGAGTAGAGAATAAAAAAAAGGAAACCAAAACCAGGAGAAGTAAATGTATTGGAACAGGAGGCTTCAAAGAGATTCTGTCTTCCCTTTGATTATCTAAGGTTAATGTATTTATTATTCCAAAGCACCCAATAGCCACTGATAGATTTATATCAGTAATTTATATTTTTAGTATTTTTGAATAGACGAAATGTTTGCACTGTAAAATAGAACTGACTGACTTCAACATGCAGTTGTCTACTTGACTGGCTTCGTCAAAAATATTAATTTTGGCTTCTGAATTAGGTCTGGCAGGGTACCAGGATCAAATATGCAAGAGAACACACTTTGTGAATATATTCTGAAAAACAACCAGTCAGCATTAATCTCTCCTATTTTTCAATTTTTGAAACACCTCATGAACTATACTGTATTGAAGAAAAACTTGTCACTGTGAATAATAATATTTAAAAAGCAACACTTGCTGGTTATATGGGAAAAATCTGTTCCACAAATCCATCTGAACATATACCAGTTATTATTAAATTTATAAAACCAAATCAGACACACTCCAATCAATGTATCACTTTGAATGCCTGCATGTTCTGATTATATACTAATGATAAAAGACAAAAATGTATACACCAAATAGGGTTAGTAATGCACAGTTTTTAAGAAAATCATACATTTTATCAGCAAAGAAACTGGCTGATTGGCTGATTAAATAACAACTGTTCTCTCACAAGCAAAACCGAGAGCAATTAGAGACATGAAAAGCTAGAACAAAAGTCATGGAAAACAAAATTGAGGGGATAAAACAAAGCACCTGGAAGGAAATAAGTTTTTCTCAGTTTTTTCTTGTCTTCACACAGTGGCAGGCAATCCAATACTATAACAATTCACATTGGCAAGAAGAGGAAAAAAGTGCAAATGCCATAGGTGGCGAGATGCATAAGATGTCTTTTTAAACAGCACAACTACCGGTATGTTAGACAATCAGAGAAGATCAGATGTCTCAGAATGACTACGGTCCAGAAATTTCTTCCTAAACAAATTTAAAATCCATGCATACAAAAATACTGTGGTTGTGCATACTATGTGTGACTATATTACCAAATTAAAAAAAGATGTTTCAGGTTATATAAAAGAACATCCAGAGAATCTATATACTACTAAAACTTTCCCGTAACTTTTAAATGGGCAAAATGGTGGATTATAGAATAAGTTTCTGAATCACAGTACTGTATGTCAAATGGCCTAATTTACAGAAGTATCCAAAAACTGAGACACATGATTTCAGACTTGAATACTGGGCGCTACCTAACAAAATGAAATTCAATGGTGAAAAAAGGAAGGTTCTACATTTAGGCAAGAAAAACCAAATGTACAGGTATAGTATAGGGGGTACCTTGCTCAATAGTAGCAACTGTGAAAGGGATCTCGGAGTCCTAGTGGACTATCACTTAAATATGAGCCAGAAGTGTGCTGCAGCTGCCAAAAAAGCCAACACAGTGCTAGGCTGCATTAACAGAGGGATAGAATCAAGATCACGTGAAGTGTTAATACCACTTTACAATGCCTTGGTAAGGCCACACTTGTAATACTGCATCCAGTTTTGGTCACCACAATGTAAAAAAGATGTTGAGACTCTAGAAAGAGTACAGAGAAGAGCAACAAAGATGATTAGGGAACTGGAGGTTAAAACATATAAGGAACGGTTGCAAGAATTGGGTATGTCTAGTTTAACGAAGAGAAGGACAAGAGGGGACATGATAGTAGTGTTCCAATATCTCAGGGGCTGCCACAAAGAAGAGGGAGTCAAGCTATTCTCCAAAGCGCCTGAAGGCAGACAAGAAGCAATGGGTGGAAACTAACCAAAGAGAGAAGCAACCTAGAACTAAGGAGAAACTTCCTGACAGTTAGAACAATTAACCAGTGGAACAAGCTGCCTCCAGAAGCGGTGAATGCGTCAAGTTTTTAAGAAGAAATTGGATAGCCATTTGTCCGAAATGGTATAGGGTTTCCTGCCTGAGCAGGGGGTTGGACTAGATGACCTCCAAGGTCCCTTCCAACATTATCATCATCATCATTATTATTATTATTATTATTGACTTGAAATTTGGCAAATTGGGTGATATTTTGAAACAAGTTATCATAAAACAGTTTATGAAATAACACAAAATTACACTTAAATATAGTAGACTTAAACTTCTTGCTCTAAATACATTTAATATGATACAGAATAACTTTTAATTGTGGATATTAAGAGTTATAAGGTACATGTCGCAACAGGCCCCAAAATTATGAATGAGTCAGTGCTAGATCTATTACAGCTGTTCTCAACCTGTGGGTCGTGACCCCTTTGGGGGTCGAACGACGCTTTCACAGGGGTCGCCTAACCTCCTGCGGCTCCAGAGCCTCCTCCGCCATTTGCAGAGAGAGAGAGAGAGAGGCACTTGCGCTTCCCTTCTCTCTCTCTTTCTCTCTCTCTCATGCAGACTTGCCCCCTCGCAGAGCTCCTGATTGGCCCTGTGGCCGGGTGCCCTAACCCCTGGGAGAAGGGTGGCCAGAAAGGCCCTTTCCCTGGCTGGCCCCGTCCAAGGTGCACATGGCCGGGGAACCGTGTAAGGAAGCCCTGGGATCCCTGCTGGGAGTGACCCAGCAAAGCCTCCACTGAGCGGGCCAGCCCTCCTGCAAGCCGCAGCCCCAGTTGGTCAAGCAGCAGCAGAGCCGGAGATAGAGGGTGAGTGGCAGGGGTAGGGAGGGGGCTTTGAGTCCAAGGAGCACCCCTGCGAAGCAGCCTCAGGGCAGGTAGTGCAGCCTCCCTGGCTTACCTGCACCAGGCAGAGGAGCAGCCGAGCCGGCCAGGCATCTCCCCAGGCCAGGCGGCAGTCCTGGCTGGGCCGGCGGCCAGCGGGGTATTGTTTCCTGGGATATCCCTGGGCTGCTGAGCTGGCCAAGTGTCTCCCCGGGCCGGGTGGCAATCCTGGCTGCGGTGGTGGCATCACTTCGGTCCCGGTGGGGCCGGCAGCCGGCAGGGGCATTGGTTCCTGGACTGTTCCCAGGCCGCTGAGCCGGCCACACGTCTCCCCGGGCTGGGCGGTAGTCCCGGCTGGGGCGGCGAATCGCTTCAGTCCTGGTGGGGGCAGCGTCCCGGTCCAGTGCATGGTGGCCCGGGCGCCCTTCAGCGCCTTCTGCTACCTCCTGCCCCCCCACCCTTGGCCTTCCAGGGACCTCCACCCATTTTCCCACATCCGGAACAGAAGAGGAAGTGTTACTTTCCGGGCATGGGAAGGGGCGGGGGCACTCCTCTAGACCGGTACTGCGGTTGTACAAATTGCAGCTGCTCAGCCTGGCCCGGCTCACCCTCCTGCGGCAGGCAGAGCTCGGCAGGATTTGGTCCTGGAAAGGCCCGGCTAGCTGGCCGGCCAGGAAGGCTGAGCAGCCCCAGTGGGGGAGCCATTCCCACCCCATGGCCGGTTGGCCAGGAATGTCATCCGGCTTGGGAGCTGCCTGACTGCCGTGGGGATATCCACGTCAGCAGCCTCCTGGTGGGCCCGCTAATTGCGGGCTCCCAGCTGGCTTCCTCCATGAGTCAGGCGCCTGGGACTCCATGGAGCCGCCCCTAATTGTGCCCGGAAGGGCCCGACCGAGCCCCGGGCTGACTTGCACGGCTCCGAAATGCCACTTGCCTGAATTCTTTCTGCCTCCTGGGGGGAAGTTGCGCCTCATGGCCCAATTATTATGGGCGTTATTCCAGCGTGGTCACTTAATTTGGATGCTTCTGTTGTTTTTATTGGCTTTGCTGTCATTACTCTTTTAAAAAGTATTTTTAATTGTAATACATCTTTGAACTCTAATCTGCCCAGAGTCACTGAATGGGAAAACTTGACATATTGAGGGGAGGGAGGGAGGGAGAGAGAGAGAGAGAGAGAGAGAGAAGAGAAGAGAGAGAGAGAGAGAGAGAAAGAGAGATAGAGGGAGAGAGGAAAGAGAGGGGGAGAGGAAAGAGAGAGAAAGAGAGAGGAGGAAAGAGAGGAAGAGGAGAGAGGGAGAGAAAAGAGAAAGAGAGAGGAAAGAAACAGGGAAGAGAGAAAGGGAAAGAGAGAAAGGGAGAGGAAAGAGAAAGAGGGAAGAGAGAAAGAGGGAGAGGAAAGAGAAAGGGAAGAGAAAGAGGGAGAGGAAAGAGAAAGGAAAGAGAGAAAGAGAGGAAAGAGAAAGAGAAAGAGAGGAAAGAGAGAGAGGGAAGAGAAAAAAAGGGAGAGGAAAGAAAGAGAAAGAGGAGAGAGAAAGGGAAGAGAGAAAAAGAGGGAGAGGAAAAAGAAAGAGAAAGAGGAAAGATAAAGGGAAGAGAGAAAGAGAGGGAGAGGAAAGAGAAGGGGAGAGGAAAGAGAGAAAGAGAGGAAAGAGAAAGGGAAGAGAGAAAAAGAGGGAGAGGAAAGAGAGAAAGGGAGAGAGGGACAGGAAAGAGAGAAAGAGAGGAAAGAGAGAAGAGAAAGGAAGAGAAAGAGGAAAGATAGAGAGGGAAGAGAGAAAGACAGGGAAGAGAGGGAGAGGAAAGAGAAAAAGAGAGGAAAGAGAGAAAGAGAGAGAGAGGAAAGCATAACCACTATGCTTTAATTATGTTCAATTCGTAACAATGAAAATACATCCTGCACATCAGATATTTCCATTACGATTCATAACAGCAGTAAAATTACAGTTATGAAGTAGCAACGAAAATAATTTTATGGTTGGGAGTCACCACCACATGAGGAACTGTATTAAAGGGTCGCGGCATTAGGAAGGTTGAGAACCACTGATCTATTAGCTGTTACACAAATAGAATGCATAATTAGGGTTCCTATTTTATTATGCTAGATATTTCAGATAAAGAGATTCCTCATGCGGTTATGCTACACCATCTGACCTTCTGCTAGCCTTAATTGAAAAGGTTGGGTGAAGTGAGAAAAGAAATTCATGTAGTAAAAGGTGACACAATGAGGAAGCCATTGTTTACAGCTAGGCAATGGAGATGGTGCAGGAAACATTCTCACAGTTGGACAAAGTAGCCTTCCCTTGTTCAAACAAAAATTCAAATGCAGTACACATAGGAAAAAGTGCTATCCAGTGGAGAATATGGAAGCATTTTCTTGCTGATACTTTGGCTCATGCCTGCAAATCCTGTCAGAAATCAGAAACCCACTACCACTTTCTTCCCCATACTCACCATCCTCTGCCTCGGAAAAATCGTTGGGTTCCAGGACATAGCGCAGTTTGGTATAGTTCACATAGCCTGGCTCAGCTGGCAGACTTTCCAGTTCAAAATTGGCTATAAAAGATTCTTTGGGGGAGCTCCCTATATCAGAAATGCTACTGGTTCCAGTAGACGATGTAGAACAATGAGCAACACTGCCATGTAAGCAAGATTCCAAAGTCTTCCTCAGGTCCCAAGAGCCTAAAGTATCCTGGCCCAGAGCCCCAGAGTCAAGGAGGCACTTGAGCCCATTGCCTGCTGCTGCTGCTTCTTCTACAGGTGCACTGCTTCTGGCTTCCTTGGCCCTTCGGAAGATGTCTGCAACAAATTCCTTTGCCATAGCTACAGCAGGTGAAACGTGGGTATCTATGTCCTGTGGAGGTACAGCAAGAGGCTGTGTCAATGGAGTCTCACTCTGGCAGGAGCAGCTGTCTTTTTCCAACTCTTTCTCTAAGCCTGCAGGACAATGTGAGATAAGGGATGCGTGGCTCACTTCCACAACAGGGGCCCGGGTCTGGCGACTCCTGTCATAAAGAATTTGGCAGAAGTTGCTGTCATCTAAATGGAAACAACAACAATAAAATCAGAAGTGCCACACAATTTCTACAACACATTTTCAAGGACTATTCATAATATGTTGTTGACTCCAAAACATGAATATACACGTACAAATAATCATTATATTTGGCTGTGTCTAGTATGCCCTTGTCATTTTTCCCCACTGACAAGCTGGGCTTTAATCTGTTCTCCAGCAAAGCTTTTTTGTTTTTTTTTTAAATAGACTCAATAGCTATGACAATGAATATTCTGACCAAGCAATCAAAGAAAGTAATTCAGAGGTAGATCATACATATGACATAAGCATCATTATTTCCATTTCTCTCACTCTTTTTGAAATCCATAACGGAGAAAACACTAAAATTACATAGACCAATTATGAAAACTTCTAGTAGCAAATTTGACTATTACTATTCAAATTATATTGAATAGTAATGGTCCAGAACATATTCTGTATTAGAATAATCTTTTAATTTGCAATAGTTGAGGTAATTTGAGGGGAGGAGCGTCCCCTCTCCAATTAAGTAAGTGGATGTCAATTGCTATACTTGGGGATACAACTAAAGCAAGCAAGACTTGCCCATCATTGCACTGTCTGAAAGTTCAAATGTTCAAAAAACCCCAGAGATCTCAAGAGAATTATTTATTCTGATAAAACTCCTGATTTATTTAGTTATTTGATTTGAGGTTTGGTTCTCATAGGCCTACTATATACAGCCCACCCAAATAATAATAACAACAACAACAACAATCCCTCAGTGAGGCAGTACCTTGATGTGATTGTGGGGCTTGTGTACTCTGAAGAAAATGAGAGCTATCCCATAGGTTCAACCATATTGGATACTTCTCATCAGAGGAATCAGACGAAGAGTGTCTCTCCCATAAATAATATGGTGAGACGTAAATTTCAGAAAGCCATATTGGCTCAGATGTGGCCCGGGTTAACAAGGTCCACACTAGATGTTGGAATTCCTTTTGGTTGAGCAACCAGGGCCAGCAGCTGCAGAACTACTGGAAGAAAAGGTGTTTACCCATTGCAAATACACAGTGATTGAAAACAAAGAAATAATGAACTGTTATTATAGATCAAGTCCAACAAGAAGAGGATATTTGAAACGAATGAACCAGTTCTGGAAAGAATAACATCCAGAATCAGAAATAAAAGAACAGAGGCCAGCACATCAATGTCAATTTATAATATGAAATAAAGTATTCACAGAAGCACAACTGGAAGAATTGCCAAGGTTTATCCAGGGCAAAGAAATCAAAGCCTTACCAGAAGTAACTCAATGTAGAGGCAAAGCAGGGGGAGTTGGCAGTACAGGAATCCAGCAGAGATATACAACTGCTTTCATTTGGAAAACAGGCATTTTGTCCTCTGCCCCAGGAAGAACAAAGCCCTCTAACTAAAGAAATAAAAGAATTGAAACAAAGAGTTGAACATCTAGAACAGCACAAAAGCATCAGAATAAGGCTGCCTGCATTGAAGCTTGTTCCAAAGAAACAGCTAGCACAAACATTAAAAGATGCAAATACTGCAAAATCAAGTATAAGCACCAACTCACTGCAAGAAATAACCAACTAATGAACAGCACAGGTGCAGTTATAACTGAATACCTGGGATGCAAAATCAACAAAGAAGAAAAAAAGCCAAACAGTGCACCACAAAAATGGAAGATTAGTCTGGAAAATAAAATCAGCAAATTGAGATCAGGTGCAAGCAAGCTAGGACAGATGAAAGAAAAGAAGCTGAAGAACAAGAAGACCAAAGACTACTTAATCAAGAAATACCACTTAGAAATAAGGAAGATCAAGGAAGCACTGGAAATAATAAAGCAGCAAATAACAGCTATAGCCAAGAAGATTAGCAGATACAAAGCTCGAATTGCAAGTTATAGGCAAAATCTCCAATTTCAATCCAGTCAGAAACGTTTCTAACAATCCATCAATGGAGAAACTGCAGTGAATCAGTCAGTACCTGACAAGGAAGAAACAGTGCAGTTCTGGGCGCAGATATGGGATAAACCAAAGAAATACAAAAACACAGCTTGGCTAAAAGAGGTTGCTGCGAATAAAAAAAGTTGAAAGAACTAGTAATAACAGCAGAAATAGTAGAGAAAGAGCAAGGAAGATCAAGAATTGGTCAGCACCAGGTGAAGATGAATTGCCTAGTTTTTGGTTGAAAGATCTAACTGGTCGATACCTACTTGTTGCCAAATAGTTCAACAACATACTACAAAAAGGTGAAATTGAAGAGTGGCTAACAACTGGGAAAACCTACCTAATAATGAAAGATCCAGCAAAAGGGGCAGCACCAGGCAAATACAGGCCAATTACTTGCTTACCAATAACTTTCAAATTGCTAACTGGTGTGGTAGCTGATGCAGTCCAACAGCATCTAATTGAAAACAATCTCTTTTCACCTGAGCAGAAAGGAAAACACCCCAATAGCAGAGGAACAAAGGATCAACTTCTAATTGACAAAATGATCTTGGAAAACTGCAAGAGAAGGAAGACCAACCTGAATGT